GAGTGGCATCATGTTGATGAAGCCCTAGGTGAAGTAATTTCAATACTTTCAATCTTCGCAGTAGAGGTATTGGTGAATCCTCAGGTCCGTCCATCGTGTATGACCGTCGCCATGGCCCTTCTAATAGACACTTGACAAATGAGAATGAAGAAAATGATGAAGATGGTGTGACGTGAACACTGAAGACTAATGTGAATTTAAGAAATTAAGGAGTTTTTTATTTATTTATTTTTTTTATTTATTTATTTTTTTCTTCGTGTTTTGAAACTTTAATGTTTTGACATATTGGTATTTTAATATTTTGATGGCTATGTTTAATTTTTGGTATTTTGATATTTTATTTGAAATTTAGGGATTTAATGTTATAATTTTATATTGTATGATTAAATATTAGAAACTTATAATAGGTAAGTCGTTGTATCACCTTATTATTGCCATTTCGGATGCCGTGTCGTCTAGGCGATATGGCAGTCCGATGGCGCCATGCCTAAATCCTCGCTGCAACAACCTTGGCATGGTGGCATCGCCTTGGCGTTCCTGGCGGTGCATCTGTACCGCCAGGACAGATCGCCTCGCCGTTTGGCGAGGTTGGCGTCCGCTCGTCGCCAAGGCAACGCCATCTCGCCAAAAGACGCCAAATGGCGACTCAAGTTGGCCCAAACTGTGGCTCAAGAAGACCCAGCCCTAAAACAGCCCCAGCCCTAATACAGAACTCAGTCTAAACCTGCTTTAGGTATTTTTCTTCCTAACCTACCTGTGTCGCTACATCTGCATTGTCTCCTCTACCTTCGCTGCCGCCGCCGGTCGTTGTGTCTGCCTTCTCATAGTCGAAGTAAGTTGCGTTTTGTTCATACTGTTTAGCGGTGGCAAAAAATTTTGGTGGAAAGAAAGTTGAATGGTATGGATGAGAGTGCTTTACTTGTTAAATAATAATATGTTTATATATCTGAATATATTTTTATATTACGTGTGGGTAGTAGTGGGTATGTGCCTGTGATAGTACTTTTTTTTTTTTTTTAATCTATTGTATAGTTTATATCTTATATCTTAAGTTATTTAATCTATTTTATTTTATTTTATTGAGATTATTATTGAAACATTATGTTCTTGATTTTATATTGTTTAATATATGTATTTATTTTTTTCATGATAATATTGTATTTTTTATTTTTTTAATATATTTTTCTATTTTTACTAATTTTAATTCTATGGCTGAAAACGAAAGTATTCAAGATTTGTCAAAAAATCCGGCAAGAAAAACTAAATCATCGGATCCGGGATGGAAGAATGGATTTGGGCCGGATTTGACTAATAAAGATTTAATTGAGTGCACTCTTTGCCATAGGCAAATGCACTCGGGAGTAAAAAGACTGAAACAACATATGGTTGGCAACTATGGTGATGTTGTCAAATGTCCAAACACTACGGAAGAAATTCGCAAGGAGATACATCAATTTATGAGAAAAAAGTGATGAACAAAACTTCACGAACTACTGAGTTTGATTGTTTTGAGGATAATGAAGCCAATGAAGAATTAAAGGATGATCAATCTTTGGGTGTTACAAATTCATCATCCCACTCTTTTTTGCATCTGGGTTTAGGAACAAGTAGTAAAAGAAAGTTGGCTCAATCAACTCTGAAGTTTTTTGAACCTCCGAGAGTTGGAAAACAAAGTAAGTCAATTGCTGCAATGATTCGAAAGACTCTTGAAGAGATTTTTGAAGAAAGACATATGAGGGGTTATGTTCAGAAAACCATCGAAGTTACTACAAAAGGAAAAGAGGAAACGAGAGAAGTGAAAAGGCGTACTGCCGACTTTTTCTACGAAAATGGCATTCCATTCAATGCTTCCAAATCAAGAAGTTGCGAGATTATGATTGAGGCCGTCGGACAGTATGGTTCCGGTTTAAGACGTACTAGTTATCATGAGTTGCGGGAACCATATCTTGAGGATGCCATAGATGTAAAAAATAAGTTGAAAGAAAGGCACATGGAAGCTTGGAAGTAGTATGGGTGTTCCCTTATGTAAGATGGGTGGACAGACAAAAGAGGACGACACTCAATAGTCCAGAGGGAACTTTTTTCTTGAAGTCTATTGATACATCAGCTGAACCACATGATGCAAGAATGTTGGCTGATCTACTTGAGAAAAAAGGTTGAAGAAATTGGCAAGGAACATGTTGTGCAAATTGTGATGGATAATGGAGTAAATTATAAAGCCGCAGGAAGACTATTAGAACAGCGCATTCTTGATCTTTTTTGGACACCATGTGTGGCCCATTGTATCAATCTTATGCTAGAAGATATTGGGAAAATGAATGAATTTAAACCCTACATTCAAAAGGCTAGAGATGTCACCACGTTTATTTATCGACATGGGAGACTTCTAAGTGCAATGAGGGAAAAGACCGGTGGCAGAGATCTAGTGAGGCCAGCGACTACTCGATTTGCTACTGCATTTCTCACTTTGCAGAGTTTGAACAAACACAGGAATGAATTGATGCGGTTATTTGTGAGTGATGATTGGAGTGATAATAAGCCGTCGAAAATGTCAAAAGACAAAAAAATAATTGAAACCATTCTTTCATCAAAATTTTGGGATAAGTAGAAGATTGTTTACGGGCAACACTTTATCTTTTGATTGTTTTGAGGATAGTGATGGTGATGAAAAGCCAGCCATGCCCGAGCTTTCTTCAGCTATGAATCATACGAAGAAGAAAATAACTAAATCTTTTACGAGCAACAACAAAACAAGGTTGTTGGCCAAGTTGATGAAAATAATTGAGGATCGATGAAGCGATCAAATGGAGGTGAAGTTATATCGGGCTGCACTGTTCCTAAATCCTTCAAAATATTTTGAATTGACAAGAAGTGGTCCCATATTTGCCGGTAACCAATGCCAACTGTTTAATTATGTTCTAGACAAGATGGTTAAAGATGAAGAGTTGATGGATTAGATTAGTGGTCAAGCAGATGACTACGATAAAATGCGAGTAAGTTTTTTTTAACGTATATATTTTTTTATTTTCTATGAAACTTAATTTCAAATATTGAATATATATATATTAGTTGATTGGTGGGATGCAAATAGTGGTGACAACGAAGAGTTTTGATTACTTGTCGTACGAACTATTAGTCTATGCTGCTCTTCTGCCGGTTGTGAGCGCAATTGGAGCACATTTGAATTTGTAAATAAATTAATTCGAAATTTACTTATATTAATATTGTAGTAATAATTTTCAATTTTTGATATAATTTTTTTTTTATTTGTTTGGTTTTTGTTTTCTTTTAGATTCATACTAAGAAAAGAAATAGACTAGAGCACAAGAGGCTAAACGATTTGGTGCATGTTCAATATAATCGGAAGATTGCACATTGCTTTCAAAAGCGACGAGAAGAAGGAAGCAATTTTAATCCCTTAGTTCTTGAAGAATTTCAATGGGACAATGAATGGGTTGATGATTCCCAAGATTTGGTTCATGAAGACGGAGATCTTGAGTGACATCATGTTGATGAAGCCGTAGGTGCTTCAAGTAATCTCAATAATTCCAACCTTCGTAGTAGAGATGTTGGTGAATCCTCAGGTCCGCCTGTCGTGTATGATCGTCGCCGTGGCTCTTCTAATAGATGTTTGGTGGATGAGGATGAAGATGATGATATGAACAATGAAGAGTGAAGATTGATGTGAAATTTTAGAAATTGAGGGTTCTTTTTGGTGTTTTGAAACTTTAATATTTTGAACTATTGGTATTTTAGTATTTTGATAGTTATGTTTAATACTTTAATGTTTTGATATTTTGATATTTTATTTGAAATATAGTGATTTGATGTTATAATATTATATTGTATAATTAACTATTAGAAACTTATAATAGGTAAGTCGCCGTATTGCCGCCATTTCAGGCACCGTGTCGCCTAGGCGACATGGCAGTCCGACGGCGCTGTGTCTAAATCCTCGCCGTAACAACCTTGGTGCTGAGTGATAAACTTGGGCTGCCCAGTTTAGTCCCTCCAGCAAAGGAACCTGCAAGAAGTCTTTACCTTCTCTCAAATCTTGATCAGAACATTGCTGTTAGAGTTCAAACACTACTACTTCACGGCAGCAGCTGATAAGGGGAATGAAGTTGCTGCACAAATCATCAAGTAAACCTTTGGAAAATTTTTAGTTCGCTATTTATCCACTTGCAGGGCGCATAACTGTTATCTTTTAATGTAAGGAAAATCATAGTGGACTGCACAGGAGAGGGGAAAAGTTCTCGTTGAGGCGGAGGCCAACTGTGATATTCAGCAACTTGCGGACATGGCAAAGGATGATCCTTCAACTCTTTGGAAGCTTCGTTATGAGATTCCAGAAGCCGACAGTACATTGCAGATGCCTCCTCTAGTGGCTCAGGTTAGTAGGATTCTTGAAACAATAGGATAGATCATATTGGATTGCATAGTGAGGAATTTGATAAAAAGTTGCTTTGGTTCCTCAAGCTGGAGAGCTTATGGAGAAACCACTATCATCACGTGGAGTTCGGCTAGTTCATGAAGGCGGTTCAAATGGTTAAAGATGAATACATGAGGTCTACTATAGCTATTTTGAGGTCACAAGAGTTAAGCTTTCACTAAATTCCACTCTGCTCACATCACAACATGGTGCCAGCTATCGTTTCATACAACAGACTCTGGATGGGGAGAGCAAGCCCCTTCTGTCACAGTCACAGCCTGTAGGAGGAGAACTCCCACAGAGCCACAGAAGGAAATGGTTCTCCAAGAACCAGATCTTAGAGGTCCTGAAAGTATTTGCAAAGGACATGGTTGGTAATTATACATCAACACTCTAATCCAATGTGAGTGAGTTCAGGTTTATCTGGTTTCTGTAATGAAAGATGAAATTATTTCTGCTTCATGGGTGGTAAGTTACCGAATTTAGAATTTTCGACCTGTTTACTTACTCCGAAGAGCAAGAATCATTATAAAGCTTCAGTAGCAAGAAGAAATCTAGCAAGCCCAACTGAAGTCAAAAGAGATTGCATTGCATGCAACAAACAGCTGTTGATGTAGATGTAGAAACAAAGTTCATTTTCCACACAGGACAACATCTCTCTTTGATGGCCTATAGCTCAATGGATTGAGACTGTAAATGCACAAATTGGCATGTTTGGATTTGACTAAAATCTCATCAGATGTAGAGTGAAAGGCAGGGACACGACAGGAAGGAGAGGGGCTGGACAGTAAGGTTGCTCTACAAGAGATGCCAACAGCTTTATCTCTAGCAGCACATTGGACCCCATCAACAGAAGGAACTTCAAATCTGTAGGTTCCCTTCCTGTTTGTTGTCCTGTTAACCGAAAAGGATATGTGTTCTTCAGTCCTTGGGGAATTGGCCTTGATGATGCAGTCAGCTCTGACTTCAACACCTGTTCCAGAAACACATGTAATGTAAATAAGGGGGATGGCACAAGCATAAGCATAAGCTTGCTGGGAGGAGGTAGAACAAAGAGTTGCATAAACTCAGGAAAGCAGCAAGTTAGATATGGATGGTGGAGAAGGAATGAATGGGACCTGGCAGGAAGTAGCTATGCCTGGAGAAGGAGTTGCTGGAGCAGATATCACAATAGACCATGCCCATGACAGTGATTTGGGGTTGAGAAGGAGGAGGGTTAGACTTAGTAGGGGAGTAAGATGTAGCGGCGGCTGCTGCATCAGCTTGCAAAAGGGACGAAGGAATCGGCAACAAGGACAATAACAAGACGACAAGTGTCGTTGCAAAGGCCATTGCAAGGAGGGGAACAAGAGAGAGATATTAAAGAAGCCAAGAGGGAGCTTCTTCTCTTTTGTGATTTAAGAGAAAGAGAGAATGGCAGGCAGCAGCAGCAATAGCATTGTAGGTTGAGTGAGTACTTCTGGCTGGCAATAAAAGGAATGCCTTTTTATATTTCCCTATATATAATAAACCAAATGCATGTGAACTTTGTTTGGCTTATTGTGCAGCAGCAGCTGATAAAAGTTAAATTGGCTTGGCCGGATGCTTGCTAGCTAGACCTCAGTTTCATTTTCTTTGAAGAAAATGATTTCATATAATTCATAGTATAAGAAACATTTCAATTCAATGCACTAAATGAATTTTCCTGTCAATATGATGTATAAATGAATCTTCAATTTCGGCCTCCTCCATTAATCACAATTAAAATAATTTATCTGACTCCATTCCCACATGGTTATATTTACTTGCCACTGCACTACTTGACTGAGATTGTGATAGCATGTATACGAGGGACCTTTGACCTAATTAGAGGGCCATCACTTTACTTAAGGCATATGACATATGGACTAGTACATAAAGTTAAATGGATCCCACAAACAAACCAATATTGTATTTGTATGTATGTATGTATGTATGTATGTATGTATGTATAAATGGCGTGGAACTGAAAAACACAAGAACTACAGATGTACATAAAAGCAAACAAATCTATAGGGACACCACACCACCCACATGCATGTATGGTATTGTACATACCACACCACTGTCGCACACAAATGCTACCGACGAATCAACATGTATACAGCAAAGAACAACGGATATCTAAATTATTGTCCTTTTCGACTTCTCATCAGTTTCTCTGAGCTGGTCACCTCCTTCAGTTGAATTGAATTGCACAAGTTAATCAACGACTCAATCGAACTGACTCTCCAGGATCACAATATGGAACACGAACACATACACACGTGCTTCTTTGGAGCTTCATCGATCTTCTTCTCTGCAGCACACAATGGCAACTTTTACTTGCAGCAACTATGAATGCAAACTCGTCATGCTAAAAGTCAAAATAACTTGACCAGCACCAACACACGACTAAATCAAATATTTGTGAGTAGGATACATTTTCAGCTTTCTCTGTTAGAAATTGAAACCCTTTAATCCCCACTGCCCAATTTGCTAATGCTAAATATTTATGTAAAAAATTGCAAATCCAAACAATACTGGAAGCACTTGAAATACTTCAACAGCAACCATGTCAATTAGACGAAAAAAAAATGGCATTTGGCATAGAAACAGGTTCATACAGGCAAAAGTACGGCTATGCAGTAGTAGGAATGGAATTGAATGAAACGAAGGTGGATAAACAAGTATATATACATATATATATGGGGGGGACATAATACAGCTATGCCAGTCTTTGGAGCAAAAGTTGTGATATTTAATGCAAGGCTTCAATAACAGAAGGACAAATACATATTCTCTAACCAACAACATTGACAATGTGATACAGGGAAAAGATACACTACTATGCTGTGGGAGTCTGAAACACAGAAGAGAAGTGATCAATTTAAAATGTTTTTAGGAGTGAGCAAAAACTATCACCATAATCAATTCTACACAAGAATGGAATTTGATTCACTTGCACTCTCCAGTCCCAATCACCCAGAGGAGAGATACAAGATACAAGTGTCCAATTTATTTGCTAAGTCCTGTCTCACCCACCCACCTATCTAACCCATAAGGGCACTCAGGCATCATAACATAGAAACTAAATGAGTAAGTCTGAAAGAGCAGAGCAGACTTTCCATGAGATCAAAGTTAAGAATGAAAACCCTGTCTCAGATTGCTGGGTATTCAATATTAAAGAAGTTCGTTCAGCCAGACCCAGGAGAATTAAACTTAAGGCGCCTTAGTCGAGTTTCCAATTCATTAATGAGTAAGAAAAGTAACCTGTCTTTGCTTTGGCTAGGGATGGCTGCACAACAGCATGCATGATGATAACTCCTCCATTGGGTAGGTCTCCAAATGGCATCTTGCACTGGGCAACAGTCTTGTTGTTTGCCAAAATTTTCCCCGCACTTATTAATTTCACATCATTTGCAGCCTTGGGCGCAATTTTTTTATCTGACAGCAAAGAGGTTTTCACTCAATAAGATTGACTGATTGTATTATAAAATATAAGCAGCACTTGGAAGCTTTTGTCCTCCTTCCTTTAATCCTTTCTTTCATTAGGTACAGGTGAGCTAGCTATATACAATTGTCGAGTCTAGAGAGAGAGCCCAATACATACATACTACCCACGAGTCTCTTCTTAAAGCAAAGGCAAAGAAAAAGTGTGGCGAATATCACTAATCTTCCAACTTCATTAATTAGGGACCCAACCCCTTGTATAGAATAGAACCATTAATTTGAAATAGAAAACCAGCCAGGCAGCAGCAAGTGTTCTCGGCTTTAAAAGACAGATTCCCTTATTATTATAATTATTACTATTATCCCGATTGATTGTATAGCCGCAGTTGTGTAAATGAAATTAAAGGGGCGGGACGGATTGGATTGGACTGGATTATATGATTGATACATGATACATCCCTAGTTCTCAAGTGTTCATTCAGAAAAGCACAGGGAATTTGAATTTGAGTTAGAGTTAGGGAAGAAAGGTACCTTTAGGCCACTCGGCCACAATCCTCTCCTTGAGCATGGCAACAGTGGATGCGGGTGAATATCGAAAAGGGCCGATATCTGATCCATCGTACAATCTGAACTTGAGCTCTACCAAATCCTCCTCCGGCATTTGGGAAGGACTTCCGCAACCAACCAAATCAAAGCCGATAGAAATAATTCTAAGATAAGAAGCAAAACCCGAAACTCACCCACCCACCCACCCACCAACCTACCGAAAAGTCATTGAAGTGGTAAAGAAAGCATTATGAATTTGAGAGGAAACCTAGCCTAGAGAGAGTAGCAGATGCAGATGCAGATGTCGATTTAGATGTTGATGGTGATGTTGAGATGGGTGGCACGCACAGTTTGTGATGGCGATCCTCTTTTTTGGTTTTGTAGAATTGAAGATTACAAAAAAAAAAAAAAAAAAAAAAAAAAGAAAAAAGTGAAGAGGTGGAGTGGATGGTGGGTGGGTGGGTTACTGATACTGTTACTATAGTAATTAGTAGTATGTATGTAGTAACCTTTTCCTCTACAGGCTCTACTGCTAGTGCTAGCTTCGCTTCCGTTTCAGGCAGCATCACAGCGAAAGAAGCACAGCACGCACCGGGCATGGGATCACCAGCCCTTGTTGCGAAACCCTTGTGGCTCCTTGTTGCTTCGGACTTTTTGCTTATGCAATGTTGGTGTTATCCCCAAATAATTACGGGCTTGCAAAAATAATCACTGGTATAAAAACCCTAAGACGAAGCAGCCCGGATCTAAACCCAAAACGGAAGACTTGTCAAGAGATTCAGCAGCCTGGAGTTGGGCTGACCCAGACAAAAAGCCCAGAAACTGATCGAAACTTGAGGCTCGTAAGATATTCAGTAACTTGCTATTGAACTGGCCCAAGGAAGTGTTTGACAAATGAAAGAATAAGGAATAATGAAAAAGTGGAATAGGTTTGTTCGATTGGAGGTTGAAAACTTGCTGTTGAACTGCCCAAGGAAGTGTTTGACAAATGAAAGAATAAGGAATAATGAAAAAGTGAAATAGGTTTGTTCGATAAGAAGTTGAAAACTTGCCGTTGAACTGGCCCAAGGAAGTGTTTGACAAATGAAAGAATAAGGAATAATGAAAAAGTGAAATAGGTTTGTTCGATTGGAGGTTGAAAAAATTTAGGGATTAACAAATTGAAACTATTTAAAAATAGACAAGAATTAGGAGGGAGTGATTATCACTTTAAAATTTTTGAGATATTTTACATATTCAATTTTAGATTTAATAGATTTATATTTAGATTTGGTCTTATCCATATATTAGGTTACTTAGATTTGAGTCTATCGAGTATATTTTGTATTGCCTATATATAGACCCCTTATTTTGATGATCAAGAAGATAATCTCATTATTTTCCCCCAAAATTTCTAACATGGTATCAGAGCCTATTTTTTCTCATGCCGTAGATATAGCCTATCAACCCGTGTTTCTCCGGGTACATTCAACCTGGATTGTATCCGGAGATCTTGTGATTTTGAGATCATGCGATCTGTCATCTGTCCGTTGCCTTGCTTGCGATCTGTCATCTGTCCGTTTCCTGTCTGCGATCTTCCATTTGTCCGCTGCTTGTCTTGTTGTCTGCGTGCGATCTGAAACCTGTCTGCGATCTGCCATTTGTCCGTTGTTTGTCCGTTGCCTGCGTGCGATCTGAAATTTGTCTGCGATCTGTCATCCGTTGCTTGTCTGTTATCTGTTTGGTATTTGTGAGTCATCTCGTTTTCGGCTCCGGTGGAGTCATCTCATTTTCGGCTTTGTGGAGGCATCTCGTTTTCGGCTCCAGTGGAGTCATGTCGTTTTTTGCTCCGGTGGAATCATCTCGTTTTCGCCTCCGGTGGAGTTATGTGGTTTTCGGCTCCGGTGGAGTCATGTGGTTTTCGGCTCCGGTGGAGTTATCTTGTTTTCGGCTCCGGTGGAGTCATGTCGTTTTCGGCTTCAGCGGAGTCATGTCGTTTTCGACTCCCGTGGAGTCATCTCATTTTCGACCATCTCATTTTTCGGCTCCGGTGGAGTCATTTCGTTTTCGGTTCAGGTGGAGAGTCATCTCGTTTTCGGCTAAGGTGGATAGTCATCTTGTTTTTGGCTCCAGTGGAGAGTCATCTCATTTTCGGCTCCGGTGGAGTCATCTCGTTTTCAGCTCAAGTGGAGAGTCACATTTTTTGCTCCGGGGTGGAATGTCATCTCGTTTTCAGCTCCGATGGAGAGTCAACTATTATTTTTATTTTTGTTTTTGTTTTTGCGTTTATGTTCAACTTTCTTGTCAAACTCAAGTTGGTTTCTGTTATACCACTTAAGTTTGAGGGGGGATGATGTTGAGATATTTTAGGTATTCAATTTTAGATTTAGTAGATTTATATTTAGATTTGGTCTTATCCATAGATTATGTTACTTAGATTTGAGTCTATCAAGTATGTTTTGTATTGCCTATATATAGACCCCTTGTTTTGATGATAAAAAACAATCTCATTATTTTCCCCCAAAATTTCTAACAAAAATTACAAAATTCATCCGTTTTAGTGCAACGAAAAACTGAGATTACTTCATTACCTTATTTACCTTTGCGTGTTTCCTTGTTGATTTCTTTTTGAATTTATTGTTTCTAAATTCTTATTGAATTCAATTATTCAATTCAATCCTGGTTCTTTCTTAATTATTCGTCCACGTTTCTTCCTCGAAAATTAAGCAATTTAATTTTTAACATAGATCAATTGGTTTAAATTGCGAGACTAGCCATGATACTTTCTTAGTAGACCGGGAACTCAATTTTTGTCGATTTTGACTGGTCTAATTTTATTGAACCGTCATCCGAATTTTTCAGCGATAACAGTTGGGTTTAACTTTTTTATTCTTGTTGCTGGTACTCTTTTGCCTCTGTTTTTTTTATCAACTAAGGTAAGTTAAAAAAAAATGTTTGCTTATCTTGGCAGTTATTTGTGCCCGCATAACTTTGCTGATACGATAGCCTTTATATCGATGGCATCTTCGCCCATATCGACACCATATCCTCTCCCCTTCAAAAAAAGACTGATGCATTGACCTAAAATTTGATAATAATATTTTGATTCAACTTGGCACTAGCTTAGTGCAGTAGAAGCCGCATCAAAGAATTTTTTATTCACATTTCTTTTTTCTCTCTCCACTTCTTCTTTTCTCTCTCAACGTTCTTAGATCCATTTCGATCGACATCGTTGGTGCCGTGATATAGGAGGTGGGCACTTCTGTTTTTCTTTTGCTTCATTTGTTTCATTATTGTAACATATTCAAGATATTATATCAGTGTGGAATTAATATGTTTTTTTATTTCTATTTTTGCATTATTTTAAATCTTTCTGTTTTTGTTTTCTTTGATAATTGGCGTTATGGTTAATTGTTTGAGTTATTATTCAAGCTTGATCCACCAAAGTAAACTGTTGAAGAGCTCGATAAGTATTACTGCAATTGGGAGAAAAGAGTTTGGGAAAAAGTAAATGAAAGCCATTGTGGAAGATTTACGGAGGAGAGAGAAAGATATTCAACGAGATGGGACACGTTGGAAACACGTATGTATGGAAGCTTTTTTAATCTTAAGCCCTTGTATGTGCTCTTAGTAGGTCTTGAACCTTGGATGAAGGAGCATTAACCCTTGCTGTTAAGTTGTTATATTTGAAAATTTTTGCAGCTTCTTTTGAAGTAGTTGTTGTGGTTGCGCACGATTTTGTGAGTTTGAAAAAGAAAATATATATATATTGTAGGAATTAAAAATTAAATATCTAAATTAAATTAAATATAATATATATTAGAAGAATACAAAATTTTAATAAAATTAAATATGTGATATTTGATTATGTAAATATACTAGTATTTGTGCAATAAATATCGACCATTAATGCAAAATTTTTTTAAAATAGAAGATATTAAACAAATATTATATGCATAAATAGAGTCATAATAATTTGGTAAGAAAATAAATTAATTACATCAATACAAGAAATATTTAAATCAATATCTTCTTAGAAAGAAATAATACAAAGATCTTGACGAGAAATGAAGGAGCACAATTAAATCTTTCTAGAATGGAAAATGACATCCAATGACAAATAAAGAATTATAAAATCTTTATGTTGACAAATTGAGATGCGCCACGTAGCATTATCCGAAAAAGGAAGTCGAGACCACCCATCCTCTATAAATGGAAGTCTTGGCCAATTTATTTGACACCGGAGTTCATTCGAAAACTCGTGCAAAGGTAATTCTATTTAGACTATCTGCATTATTTTTCGTGTTCTTCGTATTCTTCGAAATATTCTTCGTTGAAAAGTCACTAATTTGGATAAATGATCCAATATTGGTTAACGAATCGATGAAGTTAACGTTCTTCGTCATATGTCCAAGCCGGAGGAAAGATCAAAGCTCCAAAACTTGTTGAAGCCAAGGAAAAACCTCCAAAGTTCATCTTGAAGCTTCAAGATGTTTATCGCGTTCTTCATCAAATCATCAAATCCACTCCTCTTCGATCCAAAAGTTAAAGAAACATGCCATCAAAACACGTTATGGAGTACCAAATTCATCTCCTTACAGATCAAGGCCCCAAATTCATCAAAAAGAGTCTTCAAATCTAAACTCGACAATCAATTTTCCCATACGGAGACCAAAGTCCTCCAACTAATATCTTTTGAGAAATAAATAATATAAAGATCTTGATGAGAAAGGAATGCGGACGATCAAATTCTTCAAGAATGAAAAATGACATCAGATGAAAAATAAAGGATTATAAAATCTTCTTTCTGGCCAATCGGGACGTGCCACATGGCATCATCCGAAAAGGAAGACGAGGCCACCCCTCCCTATAAATAAGAATCTTAGCCAATTCATTTGACACCGGAGTTCATTCAAAAACTCGTGCAAATGTAAGTCTCTTTAGACTCCCTTCATTATTCTTTGTGTTTATGTCCTTCAAAGCGTTCTTCATTGAAAACTCACTGATTTGGATAAATCATCCAATATTGGTTGTAAATTGATAAAGTTAATCTTCTTTGTCATATGTCCAAGCCGGAGGAAAGATCAAAGCTTCAAAACTCGTTGAAGAATTCATCAAAGTCAAGGAAAAGTCTCCAAAGTTCATCCTGAAGCTTCAAGACGTTTATCATGTTCTTCATCGAATTATCAAATCCAGCCCTGTTTAAACCAAAAGTCAAAGGAAACACACTGTAAAAAAATGTTATAAAGTACCAAATCCATCTTCTTAAAGATCAAGGCCCCAAATCGATCAAAATGAGTCTTCAAATCCAAAGTCAACAATCAAATTTGTCAACACGGAGATCAAAGCCTCCAAAAATCCGGCAAAGTCAAATCAGAGATCAAACCCATCAAAGAAGCCGGATTAAAGGTCCCAAAA